GCTCGGCTGTTCTCTGTGGTGACAGAACAAGGAGCAATGGTCTCAAGTTGCAGTGGGGGAGGTCCAGGTTGGATATTAGGAAACACTATTTCACTAGGAGGGTGGTGAAGCACTGGAATGCGTTACCTAGGCAGGTGGTGGAATCTCCTTCCTTGGAGGTTTTTAAGGCCCGGCTTGACAAAGCCCTGGCTGGGATGATTTAGTTGGGAATTGGTCCTGCTTTGAGCAGGGGGTTGGACTAGATGACCGCTAGAGGTCCCTTCCAACCCTGATATTCTATGATTCTATGATTCTAAGTATGAATAAAATAATAAAAAAGGCTGAGATTTTCCAAAGGAGCTCGGTATCCACCAGCTTCCATCAAGAGAATATATCATTCCCAGCACTTTTGCAAATTTGGCTGTAAGTGCCTAACTCCCATAGGCTTTCATGGGAGTTAGGTGCCTAGCGCTATTTTTGGTTTGCTGGCTGAATCAAAACGTTTTTTATTTTTTTAAATTGTTTCAGGTTGACCCCAAATGAAATTTTTCGGCATTTAGAAAAAGTAAAAAAAACCTCAAGGAAAGTTTGATTCGACCCAACGTGAAATGTTCCATTTTGTTTTTGAAGGATTTCTGCTGAAAAAACAACCCCCCGAGCGGTCTACACAGTAATGAATCAGCCCCACTGTCTGAGCCTCGCGAGCCCGAGCTGGCTGGCATGGGCCAGCTGTAGGTTTTTCTTTGCTGTGCAGACATCCTCTTAGGCTCTATCTACCCGTAGGCTCTGAAGTACCCAAACTGTTTTTAAAACAGAAATTAGGTGCTTTTGAAAATGTCACCCTATGGGTAAATCTTACAAGTTAGCATAGGTCCCGACTCTGTGGGTGCTCCGGGGATGGAGCACCCACAGAAAAAAAATAGTGGGTGCTCAACACCCACTGGCGGGTCCCGCCAATCAGCTCCTCCCCCTCTCCCCAGTGCCTCCCACCAGCCAAGGATCAGCTGTTCAGCAGCGGGCAGGAGGAGCTGGGGAGGAGAAGAGGAGCGGGGGCATGAAGAGGCAGAGTGAGGGTGGGGTGCACTCGGGGGAGGGGGTGGAACAAGCTAGGAAGGGGTAGGGCCTTGGGGGAAGGGTGGCGTGGGGGCAGGGCCTGGGGCAGAGTGGGGGTGAGCACCCTCCGGGAAATCAGAAAGTCGGTGCCTCTGCAAGTTAGCCTGAAAACTGACAGGAAAAACTACCGGCGATTCAAGTAATTTAACATTTCTCCAAATGTCATGTCCCTATTAAGAGCACGGCAATCACAAAAATCCTATTGGCTAAACTGTATTACCTGCAGCCTGCCTGCTGGGATTATCATGCCACCTAATTAATACTCCGAGCCTGTTTCATCACTGCGTTACTTCAGATTTACACCACTGATGCTTAATGGAGTCACAGTGATACCATACTGAAGTGATGCAGCGGGGAATCCGTTCATTGATATTAGAAAGATTAAATGTTAAGAGCATTTCTCTAGGGCACCTAAGATAATTCATATGTAGTCACTCATATTACTATCTGCCCCCAAAGGATTGTCTAAGCAAAGCTATTTTGTCTGCATGACTCATAGGAGCCAGAATCCTTGCTAATATAAGGTATAAGTTTTAATATAGCAGCGACAGTTAATATAAGAGCATTAGGTTGCTCTTTCTGATGTTCATGGAATGCTTTCCATCAAGCAATACACAAGATGACTCCACATGTGTTCCTTGGATGGCAGACAATTTTTTTTTGGCATATCACTTACATTTGCAATCTGGTATGCACCTAGCGCCTCCCCTTATTCCATAACAGTTATCTCTAACAAGCCATCAGTGGTGTTAAGAACCCAAAGCGCTTACCCATATTTCTGTCTTCCCATTGGTCTTCTTGCACCTGTCCGCCAGTACGTTGAGTTCGACTGTGGTTTCTGAAACCATTTCCGCGCTTTTGTCCTTCACAACGATGTGCATGACCCTACCCTTGTTGATATGGGCATCGAACGTGCTGTTCCAGGGTGGGTACATGGTGGGCTTCTTTTGGACGTACACCTGGCCATTCTCTGTTAATGGAAAAGATAAATGTCTATCAGGGATGGTCTAGACAGTATTTGCTCCTGCCATGAGGGCAGGGGACTGGACTTGATGACCTCTCGAGGTCCCTTCCAGTCCTAGAATCTATGAATTTAGACGTATCGGGATGTCCACCTGAGAGGATGCGACTGAATGGGCCCGATTCTCATTTATGCCAAGGCCACCATGCAAGCGAGAAGGGGCCCTTGAACTAGATTTAAATGTAATTTGTGCCCACTTAAAGACCTCTTTATTCTGCCACAGTGATGTAAAGTGACTTAGTGTAAATAAGAATCAAGTCCATTAAAAATCAGTGGAGTTACACTGGCGTTAATCTGTAGTAATGCAGTTATGAATCAGGCCCTAATATTGTCTCGGTCAAAATTATTTTTCCAGCATTCCTGCCTCTAAACTTCTTTGTCTTCCACGATAAAACCAAAACAAGTAAAGCAATTCCATGGTTATTCACTCTGAACGCAAACAAGAAACCGGCGGCTAGATCATTTCTGTGGAGGAAATGAGGCCAGAGTCAGAGAACTTAGGCTTCTGTGGGAGGATAATCACTTGTTTCCCTCACAATTACTCCATCAAAGCCAGAAACACTGAAGAAAATAGGGGCAGGAAAATGTGACATGGGAGACACCGGTGCTGACTTCTATTTTTCCCGGTGGGTGCTCCATCCCCACTCCGCCACAGTTGCCAACTTTCACGTGTTAAATAAGCACCCCGACTTTCACAATCAGCCAGAAATCAAGCGAATCCCATTTCAAAACGAGGCCAAAACAAGCCAATCCCTAAGAACCCCAACACTCTATGTGACTAGATCCTCCCGGCGTGCAGTCTGGGACTGTGGTGGGCCTGCTGTGCACCCCTGACTCTCTCCCGTCCTTGCCCCTGCTTCCCCCATTGCCCCTGCTTGCCCCCTTTGCCCCGTTTGCTGGGAGCTGATAAAAAAAAGGAGCAACAAGCTACAAGCCAAACAAGTTACAAGCCAAAAACTTGCCAACAAGCAACTCACAAGCCAATTAAGCCAAAACCAAGGGCAATTTCTGCATTTTTTCACAGGTTTGGCATGTCTGCACTCTGCCCTGAGGCCTTGCCCCTACTCTGCCCCTCTCCCTAGAGGCCCTGCACTCACTCAACTTCTTCCCGCACCCTGCTCCACTCCCTTCCCTGAGGCCCCGGCCTGCCTGCTGCTCACTGCTCTCTGCCCTCCCCCGAGCGCCTCCTGCCAGCTGCTGAACAGCTGTGGCTGGTGGGTGCTGACCACCCCTATTTTTTTTTTCCTTGGGCGCTTGAGCCCTGGAGCACCTATGGCGTCAACGCTTATGATAGGAGACACATCTTACTAGGAGGTGAGGTATCTTTGAGGCCTACCATAAAACTGCCCACCCAGTGCCAATCATACTTGCCCCCACTCTTTAGTCCAAGTCTCGCCAGCCTCTTTGTCCCAATCTACTCCTTTCCTTAGATCCGGCTTTAGCCCTCTCCGCATTTGAATCAGACAGTTTCCTCCTCCACACTGCCTGGGTGCCAGCAGAAGGGTGACCGAGAGGACAGGAGAAAGGCTGCCTGTCTTCAGTTCCAGTGCCCAAACCCACACGGACTTGGAGCAGCTGGGAGAAGCCATTCTGGGGAAAGCTTTATCTCCATTGTGACCATAAAAATGGAAAAGAACCTCAGCCATCTTTCTTAGTCTTATAACTATCAGTTTATACACCACGTCAACTTGGACTCTTTACTCAAGGTGAGTTTTGTTTAACAATAACCATCCTTAACTTTTCCTCTTATAAAATGTTAATTTAATGGAATAAGAAAATTAAAAATAGAAAGCATGTTTATGTGCATTGTGGGATAATAATATTGCCCCTCTGCCAAGCGTTAGCAGAGGTCAGGACCCTCCAGGTTGGTTTCCCATTGAAGGAAAAATCAATGACGCAGAGTGAGGGGGTGTACCCTTACTGTAACTCATTTATTTACACAATATACATGAATCCATGAACAGAGGTAGTCACAAACGGCAAGCAGGAAAACCCCCACTTTCTGAAATCTCCACCCAAAAGCCAATACCTGGTTCCCAGGAAGCAACTCTGCACCAAGTATGGATTGGAATTAGAGAAATGAAGGCAGAGAACAAACTCGCTTGCTGTTTGCAACAGCTTTCCTTTAAAACAAGCTATGTCAAAAAAACTAATTGCAATACAGCATTCTTCAAAGAATATACACTGCTTGCATGCTGTGTGTAATGGTACCATCTGGTGACTCCCTCCATAACAATAATACTTTACACTTCCATAGCCTCTTACTTCAGACAATCTACAAATGCTTTACAAATATTCATAAAAATACTTCCATGACTTCTTTATACATCACACAGAAGCAATAGAAACCACAGCACTGGACTGGGATTTAGGAGACCTGGGCTCTATTCCTGGGTTAGCCACTGACCTGACAGGTGATCTTGGGTAAGTCACTTCAGTGCTCTGTGCCTCGGTTTCCCCATCTGTGAAATGGGGATAATGATACTGATCTCCTTTGTAAAGTGTTTTGAGATCTACTGATGAAAAGCGCTATGTAAGAGCTCGGTATTATTATTAATTAGCATCCTCCTCCTATTCATCAACAAGTCAATTTTAAATACTTGGGTGTGTGCAACCAACTGGAACCAGTTTAATTAAAGGTGGTTTTATAAACCAATTGGGTGACATTGGTATGAGTTTTGGTTTAGACACTTATTTTGGTTTAAAAGTAGTTCATTTTGATTTTTCTTAATCCAGTTTTAAAAAAAATGGATTAATAGGCAGTGAACCACTCTTAAACTGAATTAAGTGTGTCTTCACGCAGACTTGCACCAGTTTAACTAAATCAGTTTGCAAACTGATTTAAGGTAAACCACGGCAAGTTCTGTATTCAGACTAGGTCTTGAAGGAGCAGCATTTTAAGAGAGCCCATACTCCCAGGTAAAAGAACCCTCCCTACCCCCCTGTCTTTTCTCTAAGGGTCCAGAGTGGGTAGAGGCAATATAAGGAGACAGCAACCTACTGTTGATTGGGGCTTGGGGGAGAACCAGCCCTCGGCCACCTGCTGCTGCTGGAAGGGAGGAGCAGGAACCAGAGGGGAGGGAACAGAGAATGGGGAGCACATGGAAAGCTTTTAAACTCCACTCCCTGTCCGGCTCACCCAATGACAACAGAAAGCTGCCTTTATTGCTCCTTTCCATCTCCCTCACCTTAGGAGTCCACACACTCCCCTCCCTTCCAGCAGCTGGACCACTGGAGAAAAAGGCAGAGAAGAGATGTCTCTTACTGTACCTGGTGCTGCGTCCCAGTGTGACCTCTGCTAGGATGCTGCCTCTCAGCTCCCTGGGTCTGTCCTATTTACATATCACCACAGCAGTGATCCCCACCCCTGCTTTCACTAAGGAAGTAGAGACAAGGGCTGGGAAAAGAAATATACAGTCTTGAAGGAAGGATCTGGAATCCAGTCCCAGCTCCCTGTATGTCTCGAGGTTTTATATGGTAAGGACCAGATCTTTACTCACACTGGCTTATTTACGCCATATACACCAGTCCTTGAACAGAGATGGTCACAAATGGTATGTTGGCAAACCCTGCTTCCTGAAATCTCAGCCCAAACTCTGATGTGTTGTTCCCCGGAGCAATTTTGCACCAAGACGTTAGGGAAATAAAGGCAGAGAACAAACTTCTTACCGCTTGCCACAGCTTCTGCAAAAAGAACCTGTATCACAAAACTAACCACACAGTGTTTCCTCATGTGAATTGGGACTTCTCGTATAAGGGTCTCCCAATATGAGTACAGGCTGCACCACTCAGTCCAAAGTTTAAATCTGTATGTGGACTTTCCCGAAGTTCAGGGGAATTTGGGTCTAGATCAGGCCCATCTCTACGATTAAGGACCATCACATATTTAGTAAGTGTGTGGTTGGGCATATTTTACTCACACTTGAACACTGTATGTATGTAGATTTTTGCAATTAATATACTTAGATAATAGCCTGTGGGCCTAATTCATCCCTGGTGTAATTCCTGGCTTTGATGGAATTTCATCAGGGATGACTATGGCTCTGTATGTCAGATACCAGAGGCTTGCTTCAAGGCACAAGCTCATAAATATACATTCAGTATCTTTTGATAAAAAGTTGCACAAAAAGAAAAGCAGCCGAGTGCAACATAAACTTCCAGATGTCACTGAGAACAAAAATATTAACAAGAAGAGCCATGACTTCCTCACTGCATCAGCTACCCAGCCACCCGACATAGAGAAATCAATTTATCCAAGAGACACAATCATTTGCAAAATAAATCTCTCAGTTTTTAGTGCCCTGGAAAATATATGGCTAAAATAAACAAACACTGGGATGGTAATGAATTGGCCAATGCATAAGGGCAAAATTCTCTCTGATGTAACTCCACTGAAGTGAATAGAGTTATATCAGGGATTAATTTACCTCCATGCTCCTGGAAGATGAAACAGCAGCTGCCTTTCCTGTAGTGCAAAGCTTTCTCCTTGGCTGACAGTGTCTCTTGATCAGTGGGACTGCGTATAAAGTTCAAACACAGTGCAGAATCTCTCATGAGACAAATGTCATCAAGCCAGGTGTTAAAAGGGCATGGATCCAGGTGGCCCATTAGGTCCAGAGCAGCTTTTAAAGGGCAGATTTTTTTATGCCTCAAAGGCTCCTATGATATCTGAAAAGGTTTCTCTTCTGTAGTGAGCTGCAGTAGCCCTTCCAACCACTTGACTTTTATTTTGGAGAATGGATTAAATACGGCGATTCCTTTGTTTAAAACAAACAACCCGAAAACCTTGCCTAAAATTACAAAGTGCAAAAAAAACAGCATTCAACAGACACAGCAGTGAAAAATGACACCAGTGCACATTGCAAAGTATCGAGGCAGAATCTCCTACCAAAACGGCGCCAGCATAGAGGGCCTGATCTAAAATCCATTGAAATCAATGGGAGTTTTAA